TATCATATAAAATCTATACGAATCCAAATTTTCAATTAAAACAATAAATTATATCTGATAAAAACTGTACCGAGAACAATTTAACTGTAGAATCTTGGTACTGAAATAATCTTGTTACAGACTGAACTGTATCCCCCTTGTTGTGGATGTAATCTCATCTGGAAACAGGCTTTTCTGCTATGTTAATGAGACCGTATCAGAATAGGCTGCGTCTTTTGACAATCACTTTTGAGATATAAAAAAGAGCAGATTCGGCACAGAAGCAAGGGAACACAGATGGAAGATTGATGTCACCTGGAAATCACCAAGGAACCAAGGAAAAGAAGCTGAAAGAGACAAGGATTTTCTCCCGAGAGCCACAGAGAGACAAAACTTTCCCCTAGAGCTAGCACCCTGAATTCAGACTTCTAGCCTCCTAAACTGTGAGAAAATAAATTTTTTCGTTCGTTAAAGCCACCAACTTGTGATATTCCTGTCATAGAACAACTAAGAAACTAAGACAAATACTTAAGATATTATGTGGCTCACTTTTCTTTTGTTTTTTAAAAACTTATTAAACTATCTATTTAATTATTACCACTATTATTATTAACACACCCACTCCTCACTTAACAACTGTCTTGTTATCCAACATTTTACATTTATGACAAGAGTAAAAAAACCTACTATCTGACTACTTTGTGCATTAATGACATACATCTGGCAGTAACACACACAGAGGTGCATTGCGAAAATTAACACTGGCTGTGATGCTTAAGGTTATATATCAACTTGGCTGGGCCATGATTCTCTGTTTGGCGGTTATGTAATGGTGTAATTTGGCAGTCACGTAATGATTAGTCATCTTCCATTTTGTGATCTGATGTAATCCTCCATTTTGTGATCTGATGTGGGCAGCAAATCCATTGAAAAGGGAGTTTCCCTGGGGGTGTGGCTTGCATAATGCTGATTTTCACATAACAACCTGGTCTCTAGACCCTAACCATGTGATAAATGAGCAGTGGGTGTATTATTACAATTGAGAATGCTGCATCACATGGTAAGCTACTTTTTCTGAGGATGTATCAAAGGCAGGGTCAGATTTTCCAACTTTGATGCTATATTGTTATATCCAGTGAATTCTGTAGA